CAGGCTCTGACCAGCAGCTCCGGTAGCAGCCACATCGCGGAGCTGCTCTTTCTCATGGAGCAGCTGCGGAGCCTGGTGCGGCAGCAGGTCGGGGTGCTGCAGCGCTACCACGTCCAGTACCTGGCCCGCTTCGACGCCCTGGTGCTCAGCGAAGTCATCCAGGTACCGCGGGGCACTAGCAGGGGCTGATCTGTGTCCCCCATTGGGGCTGTCCCTGTCCCCTGTGCCCTATCCTGGCTATTCCTCATCCTGTCCCCATCCCTGGCCCCGCAGAACCTCTCCGTGTGCCCCGAGGAGGAGTCTATCATCCTGTCGTCCTTCGTCAGCTCCCTCTCAGCTCTCTCTGTCAAGGAAGGTATGGTCAGTGTCCCCCCCACCATGTCCCTGGCACTGCCCGGGGACCGATGTCCCCCCTGCCCCGGGAGCCCTGCAGCAGTCCTGGACCGTGCTGGGCACCCAGGCACAGGCTTGTGGGGAAACAGGGAGACGGCAGCTCCCGGGGGTCCTGTGGGGTGGGCACTGCCGCCCCAGACTGGCACCCACCAGACGACTGGCACCCCCAGGACCAGTACCTCCAGATTAGAGCCCCCCAGCTTGATACTCCCCCCAGCCTCCTCCCCACAGCCATGTCTCCCCACGTTTCTATTTCCCCGCAGTTGACAAGGAGCAGTTTGATTTCACACCGCTCCGCCTGGACTGGTTCCGGCTGCAGGTGCTGTCCCTGTCCCTGTCCTTGTCCCTCTCCCCATCCCAATCTCCATCCTTGTTCCCGTCCCTGTGCCAGTCCCCTTCCTCTCTCCCCATCCCTGTCCCCATCCCCTTCCCTATTACTGTCCCCATCCCTGTCCTTGTCCTCGTCCTCTTCTCCTGCCCTGTGGTGCCCCTGAGCCCGCTGTCCCCCCAGGCCTACACCAGCGTTGCCAAGGCCTCACTGCCGCTGGGCTCCAACCCCGACGTGGGTCGCGTCATGAACCTCATCGTCTTCCACACCAAACTGCTCGACTCCCTGGAGGAGCTGCTGGACGAGGCCTCCGACCTCTCCGACCTGTGGTGAGCGCAGGCACCCGCTCTGCCTCAGTTTCCCCACAGTCACGGGGGGTCACCCTGGCTGGGGGTCTTCGAGCCACGTCCTCCACCCCAGCACGCAGGGAAAGGTGCCCACGTGTGCTGGGTGACGGGTGTGGGAAGGGATGGAGGTGGCCGTGGGGGATGTGTCACCCATGGGAGAGGTTGGGCAAGGTTAGGTGACGTACAGGTGGACATGGGGACGGGGACAACACGCACGTGGCACAGGAGCAGTGTCTCCAGAAAGACAAATCCCCTCTCCTGCCCTCCCTGCCCCTCTCTCCTGCCATCCCTGCCCCCTTCTTCTGCCCCTCTGCCCCCACCCCTGCAGTTTCTACCCTCGCCCCGTGGAGAAGATGTTTGTGGCGACGATGGGGGGGGCC